GTGGTCCATGACAAGCTATGGACAATACTGCAAAGTATGAGTATTCTGGAACACTTAATTGTGCTCATGAGGAATCTGTACATGGACCAAGAAGCAGTTGTTAAACAGAACATAGAAACACTGAATGGTTTAAAATTAAGAAAGGTGTATGACAGGGTTACATTCTTTCACCATACGTATTCAACCTGTATGTTGAGAAAATAATACAAGAAGCTGGGTTCTGTGAAGAAAAATGTGGCATCAGGATTGGAGGAAGACTCAACAACCTATGATACGCTGATGATACAACCTTGCTTGCTGAAAGTGAAGAAGATTTAAAATATTTACTGATGAACATCAAAGAGCACAGCCTTCAGTGTGGATTGCCTCTCAATGTAAAGAAAACAAAAATCCTCACAACTAGACCAATAAACAACATTCTTATCAACAGAGAAAAGATTGAAGTTGTCAAGGACTTCATTCTTCTTGGATCAACTATCAACACTCACAGAAGTAGCAGTCAAGAAACCAAATGATTCATTTCATTAGGCAAATCTGCTGCACAGGGACTTTTCAAAGTGTTGAAGAGCAAAGATGTCAGCTTGAGGATTAAGGTGCTCCTGACCCAAGCCATGGTATTTTCAATAACCTCATATGCATGTGAAAGTTGGACAGTAAATAAGGAAAACCGTAGAAGGATTGATGCTTTTGAGTTATGGTGTTGGAGGAGAATGTTGAAAGTGCCGTGGACTTCCAAAAGAACCAACAGATCTATTTTGCAAGAAGTGCGTCCAGAGTGCTTTTTGGAGGCCAGGATGGCCAAACTTCATCTCTCATACTTCTCAGGAGGGACCAGTCACTGGAGAAAGATATCATCTTTGGTAGGGTGGAGAGTCAGAGAAAAAGAGGAAGACCCCCAACAAGATGGAATGGCCAAGTGGCAGCATCAGTGGACTCAAATGTGGCCGCAATAGTGAGGTTGGCCTAGGATTGGGTAGTGTTTCTTTCTGCTGTGCATAAGGTCGCTATGAGTGGGTACCGACTCGATGGCACCTAACAACAACTCCACCTTTAGGCTGTCACTCATTCAAAGCTATAGCAAAGACTTTCAAGGGCTGTCTCGATGTCTCCCCACTTGGTATTAATTTTCCTTGAAGAATTTGGCTTATGGCGATCTAAGATTTAATTTGCCACAGGTCAGCTTGAGTTTATCTTTCTTTTATCTTTGAATGACTTGTTGAATGATTTTTCAGGACAGTGGCTTCACACAAGCATTTGAGACTCCAGAATATGCAAAAAAAACTGGAAGTATAAAAAGTGACTGACTGGAAGAAACTTTACCACCATGACCCAAGATTTCCCAGACCTGATTAAGAAAACAGTTCAAATGATTTTCTAAGTCTATCTTAGGTAAATAGATACTTCCATTTATCTATCTATCCATCTATCTAGCTATCTTTGCTTAAATTGTTTTCATTCATTATACTAATGTAGTGTAAGCATATCAAGAATGGAACAGAACTGACTGATAGAAGGAAATAGAGGCTATTCGGTTACACAGAACTCCTTCAGTTAAGGAGTTTAACCTTGCTTGTCATTGCCCAGAGTTTGAACGCTTTATTTATGGAGTCACTCAATGTGAAGAAATAATGTGTGAGGATCACTTCTAGCTTTCTAATGCCTATGCTGTCACTGTCCTCAAGAATCCTTACTGAAAAAATTTTATGCCGTTAGACTCCCTTTAAGGATATCTAGATGGGATGTTGTTGTTGTTGTTGTTATCAGGTGCCATCGAGTCAGAACCGATTCATAGCGACCTCATGCACAGCAGAACGAAACAATGTCCGATCCTGGGCCAACCTCACTACCGCCGCCACACTTGAGTCCATCAATGATGCCACCTGGCCAATCCATCTCATTAGAGGTCTTCCTCTTTGTCTCTGGGATAGCTGGTATTAAAAGGCAGAAGATCTGAAGGAAAGCTCAGAGAGACAACCAGGAGAGGAATTTGGAAATTCAAGTAAGAAATGTCCTTTATCATTAAATGAAGAGAAATGTTTCAGTGAGAAAATGTATCATGTTGGAAGAAGAGGTACATAGCAGTGGCCAGATAAAAAGTGAGGTAAAGGGTTAGTAAGATATGGAAAGAAAATTCAGAGACACATGTGCACATTGAGAAGTTTTACTTGGATAATAGCAAAGCATTACAACCTGAGGAAGAACTGGGTCAGACAATGAAAGTTATAGCGGTTAGACATTCATGGTGCATCACTCAAATTCCCTCAGAAACTTCCTACTGGTTCTCGTTACCCATGCCCTAGATTTCCTGCATGTTGCTGCTAATAACATAGCTAATAATTGACCTCTGTGGATGTATTAAAGACCAGCTCCCTTGACTCAAGGTGAATGCTGCAGTAGGGTTTATGCTTTAGAATTCCCAACGAAATCAGGCTGACAGAATGTCAGAAATGTCACCTTAAAGCTGATCCTTGCATTACCCTTTTCCTTATATGGGTGCGCACAACAAGGGAACACTGAATGTTTTAAAATTAAGAAAGGTGTGTGAGAAGGTTGTATTCTTTCGCCATACTTATTCAACCTGTATGCTGAGCAAATAATCTGAGAAGCTGGGTTCTATGAAGAAAAATGTGGCATCAGGATTGGAGGAAGACTTATTAACAACCTGCGATATGCAGATGATACAACCTTGCTTGCTGAAAGTGAAGACCAAAGAGCATAGCCTTTGGTACGGATTACATCTCAATGTCAAGAAAACAAAAATCCTCAACACTGGACCAATAAACAACATTCTTATCAATGGAGAAAAGATTGAAGTTATCAAAGACTTCATTCTTCTTGGATCAACTATCAACACTCATGGAAGCAGCAGTCAAGATATCAGATGACGTATTGCATTAGGCAAATCTGCTGCACAAGACCTTTTTCAAGTGTTGAAGAGCAACGATGTCAGCTTGAGGACTAAGGTGCACCCGACCCAAGCCATGGTATTTTCAATAACCCTCATATGCATGCGAAAGCTCAGCAGTGAATAAGGAAGACCGTAGAAGAATGATGCCTTTGAGTTATGGTGTTGGAGGAGAATACAAAAAGTGCCATGGACTGCCAAAAGAACCAATAGATACATTTTGAAAGAAGTGCAGCCAGAGTGCTCCTTAGAGAACAAGATGGGCAAACTTCGTCTCTCATACTTCGGACATATTGTCAGGAGGAACCAGTCACTGGAGAAGGATATCATGTTTGGTAAGGTGGAGGGTCAGAGAAAAAGAAGACCCCCAAATAGATGGATTGGCCAAGTGGCAGTATCGATGGACTCAAGTGTGGCAACAATAGTGAGGTTAGCCCAGTGTCGGGCAGTGTTTCATTCTGCTGTGCAAAAGGTTGCTATAAGTCGGTACCGACTCGATGGCACCTAACAACAACAACAACAACAACAAGGTGTGCTCACTATGAATGATGGAACAATCCATCACACAAAAGTAAAAAGGCAACATTTACCTAAGGACAAAGCTGAGAAGGGATGGGGAGGTGAACTGAATGGAAATAGCAACCACAGGAAGAAGCCAAGTAACTGTTTGCATGGAGGGGATTGCAATCATTGAGATGAAACAAAATGCGTGATTTGTTTAATTAAAACTGATGATCTTGTCTGTAAACCTTCACTAAATTCACAATAAAAAGTAGTAGTAGTTGTTGTTGTTGTTTAAAGTAAAAGGATCAAAGTGGTATAGCCTACAAAATGCAACCATAAGTAAACTGGAGTTGCTATGATAATGTCAGACAAAATAGACTTGAAAACAAAAAATGTTACTAGAGACAAAAAAGTAAAAGGATCAAAGAGGTATAGCCTACAAAACTAACCAAAAATAACCTGGAGTTGCTATGATAACATCAGACAAAATAGATTTGAAAACAAAAATTATTACTAGAGACAAAGGGGGATATTTTATCATGATAAAATGATCACTCCATCAGGAATTATAATAATTCTAAACATCTATATGCACATAACATACAACTTCAAAATACACGAAACAAACCTGACTGATTGAAAGGAGAGGTTGACAATATCTGGGGGTTCCACTGCCTCACTTTCATTAATGGATAAGACAACAGGCAGAAGATCAACAAAGCAATAGAAGGTAGGATAGAGCTACTGGACTGTAAAACAAGACTGAAGAAAATGAATGGGACTTAGTTGAATAAAGCATACATTATATATTTTGCTTGTATTTGAACATCCAGTAAATGTTTTTCTTCTTTTCCTTTCTGCACTACTAATATTGGACTCAAGTATTCCTCCCTTGCTTCTTGGGACATTTACTGGTGGGGCAGACCGGAATGTGCTTAAAATACCCACCTACACTGGAACATTGTCTAATAACATATCTGATGAGGGATTTTTCATTTCTCTTTATTTCTTACACCTTTATCCTTTGGGTAAAGGATACTATAGTTTAAATATCTAAACTCTGTCTTCTATAGCTTAAATATCTAAACTCTGTTTTCTTGTCAACTATGCTAGTTGCAAGTAAGAAGTGAAGGAGGAGGAGGTGTAGAGTGAGCAAGGAAAAGTTTCCAAAAACTATAGGGTTAAATGGTATCTGTGGTTAAAACCCCACCAATGAATGTAAGCAACATCCAGCTAAGCAATGCTAATGTGGTGGCCTTGTAACAGGCCCATGGCTGAGGGTTTGTGTACAGGCTGCAGGTGTCGGGAGAGCACTGTGTCTGCACAGCACAGAGGTAAATGGCTGAATCTGTGGTCTGTGAGGAGGAAATGTACAACGAGCTGTGCCGCTCTTCAGCAACTGTCGTGGCGCTTAATATTCCATTCTTCTTTGATCCTGAAGGGATGTAAAACAGGCTAATAAGGGGTCCCCCAGGATTTTGACGAAACCACTGTAAATTGTTCACAGAAGTAGAAAAATTGCACAGCATCGTGCAACTGGCTCCCTCTGGGAGGCTAAGGACTGCCGGACTCTGCTCCACCTGCTCCCCTTTCAAACCTGATCAGAAACAGAAAAACCGTCACAAGTGATGGTCACCATAACATCTACAAAATCCTAAAAAGATCCCGGTAGAGTATGAAGATTACACAAACTATGGAAGCCTTGTGAGCTCTTTTCTTTCCCTCCCCTCAACAATACTGCAGTTGCAAAATGTTTTCAGGTTGCTGTCTGGGACAGTCTCAACTCACAGCAAATCTGAGCGCTCAGAAGTTCCAGCAGAATGATCCATTGTATCTTCACAGTATTTTGTCTTGCTGCTTGGGACATAATCACTATAAGATATATTTAACTGACCCTTGGGCTGGTGGGCGATAAATGACTTGGTTCTAGAACTGTTGGTACTCTTAGCAACCAATCAGTTCTACCCTACAAACCCTGCTTATACCCAAAGTCATAAGTGTATGTTCCCTTTACTTGACTCGGTGACAGGAAGCTCCACCTCTCAACTGAACTAAAAAGTGGGGTGGAGAATGGCAGAGTGAGAGGTCTTTATTCTGTGACTTGAAGGACATTTTTACTTTTTGGAAATCCTGGATGCATGCGAAGTGGTGTGATAAGGTGCGTGTCCTCTTCAGGAGGAAAACATGCTTCATGTATGCTAATAACAGTCTTGGAGAATCATAGAAAGAAAACCCACATTTTCAAACTCAAAAAACAAGCATAAAGGAATTTTTACTGACCTATAAATTGGTTTATTTGATAATCCATACTAGTCATACAAAACAAACACAAATTCTATGTATTATGTATTTGATGAGTTCATCTTAATTGTTTGTTGTTGTTATTATGTGCCATCAAGTTGATTCAGACTCACAGTTTAGGACACCCAAGAGCTGCTGATGGATTTGAACTGCCAATCTTGGGATTACTAGGCCAATGCTGGGCATATGTAAAATATATGGAAGGGGATATATATATATCGTTGTTGTTGTTGTTAAGTGCCGTCAAGTTGGTTCCGCCCCATAGCAACCCTGTATAGGGTTTCCGAGGATCCACTGGTGAATTTGAACTGCCAACATTGCAGTTCAAACGGCTTTGCAGTATGGCACATTAGCCCATAGCGCCACACCAAGACTCAATATATGTATACATATATAGTAGTTATGTGCTATAGAGCCGGTTCTGACTCATGTTGTTGTTGTTTGCTGGGGACAGCATACTGAGAAGCTGAGGCCCTGTGACAAGATGGATGAAAATCCAAAGGGGCCCTCCTCAGAATTGCATGCCATGGACCCTGAGGGCCAAGGAAGTGACCTCCTGAAGTCCCAGGTTCATAGGTTTTTGTGAACTCACTGGTGGTCTACCTCTGTAATTTTCTTTGGTCTTATTGTTCATTCTATGCTTCTAACTCCAGTAATTGTAGCTTCTGAGAAAATGGTTTCTTAAGTGCCTCTCTTAATGTCTCCACTGTGTTGGCAATGCGTAGGGTCCTGGGAACAAATGTTTTTGAGAAACAAATAATAGCCACCTGGGATGCATGTCATAACTACATCTTGATATTAACTTAAAACATGAGCCTTTGATGTCCATATACAACAATGGGACTAAACCTCTCTAAAGCCGAGACAGTAAAAAGAGCCAAGACAGTAAAAAGTCTCCTCAGAGGACTCAGAAAGGCCAGGAACAGGTATATTGGGAGTATTGATTAGAGGACAATAGTGGCAGCCCCCTCAAAAAACCTCTGGGTATAATCATTTTAACCCAGATGCTCCCCTACCTCCTGGAAGTATATGGAAATGTGATGTAGCATTTAGATGTAGAATCCGGAAAGGTTGAGACTCATCTCTCATCTTCTCTGGAATTGTAGGAGTAAAGAAGAAAGAATTATTAGTTGATAAATGAAGCCAGGTGTCTGAGATCTTGCTCACAAACAAAAACATGAGCTTTTGTTTGCAAAGTGTACTTTAAGCCTTCTATGACCTTTTAAATGTTTTCACCTTTACCCATTAGAGATTAAGTGCTAAAAGCATGTTAAGTATCCTTGAGACAATTGTGATGTATATTTTTAAATTTGTTCTTATGAATTATTGTGTCCTGTTTGAATGATTAATCACATTTCAGTTCTGTATCCTATTTAATCTGAATAATCATATCCTCCCTGTGTGAAAAATCCCTCCTTGGAAAAAATAAAATAAAAGACTGAGGCAGTGTGAGTGCTTCATGCAATGCTGGATGCAATGTAAGGCTGCATGCAACGCTGAATGTAAGGCTGCTTGCAAAGCTGGATGAGATGCTGGGTGTAATGCAAGGCAATGCAGTAGACCAACCTGCCTTTCAGCTTACATCAAATTTGTGTGTCTGGTTTTTTGTGTGTGTCTGTATTGTCTGTCTCTATGCTATATCTTTCGCCTCTCAGGCCTCCCAACTCCATGCAACTCACTCTCCTGTCGAAGCAAGACCCCTACAATTGTTCAGTGCCATCGAGTTGATTCTGACCCATATCAACCCTGTATAGGGTTTCCAAGGAGCAGCTGGTGAGCTTGAACCACCGACCTTGCTTTGCAGTCTGACGCATTAGCCCACAGCACCATACCAGGACTTCACTCATAGCAACCCTGAATAAGATTTCCAAGGCTGCAAATCTTTACAGGAGCAGAAAGCCTCATCTTTCTACTGCGGAACAGCTGGTAGTTTCAAACTGATGACCTTGAGGTAACAGCCTGACTTGTACCACTATGCTACCAGAGCTCTCTCTCTCTCTGTATATATATATATGTATGTGTGTATGTATATACATATATGTATTGTGTATATACACATATATGTATGTATGTGTATATATATATATATATTTGAATTCACATATATATGAATTTTCCATCAACGACAAAGATTTTTAGCACATATTGTTATAAGAAATGGCCCTTATTAAAACTGTAAAATGTGAAGGAAAAGCAGGATCAAATCAGACATCCTTTCCACATATTCTTCTCCTTGACATTATTTTTCAAATTCTTATTTCTCAAAACTTCCTGTATGTCACAAACAGTTCAGTTAACTTTTTTTTTCTAATTCCTCTGTATTCCAGTTTCCATTTTTTCCTCCCACTTTGCCTTCTCATTGCATTTCTACTTCCATATTATCCCTTTTCTTTACCTCTCCCCTTTTCTTTGTTTGTTTTCTAGTTGCAGGTAAGAGAAAGAATATTAATGGAAAAAACAGCACTGAATAGTTTTGAAATAATTTTGAACCCACAGAATGAAAGTTCAGATTTTTCCCTGATGTACAAAAAGTCAATAAAAATGGGGGAAATGCACTTTTTATTCTTTAGGTCTCTTCAGTAATACTCCATCTGATAACTGTTTGCATCAACTATCTTTTCCAAAAGATATAAAAATAATGATAGCAATATCACTACCAATATATGAATTTTAGTGATAAATTTTAAGTTCTTGAATGAGCAAATAAACCTGTAAATCAGTCTGATCTTTTATTATTGTTAATAGTAGTGGTGTGCCACCAAGTCAATTCTGACTCATAGCCACCCTATATAGGGTTTCCAATGCTATCAATCTTTATGGGAGCAGAAAGACTCATCTTTCTCCTACAGAGCAGCTGGCAGATTCAAACTACTGACATTGCGCTTAGCAGCCCAGTTCGCAATCCATTAATTTCAGAAATATTCATCAGAAAGAAAGTTTTATGTATGCTTATAACAATTTGGAGTCCTGGTGTGGCACTGTGGGTTAATGCGCCAGACTACAAAGCCATTTGAACTGCAAGGTAGGCTGTTCAAGCTCACCAGCTGCTCCTTGGAAACCCTATACAGGGTGGCTATGGGTCAGAATCAACTCGACGGCACTTAACAACAACAACAACAACATAACAATTTAGTTTTTTCTTACACCCAATTATTCCTCTTTCTTAAGAAGCCCCCATCTTCACACTCATAGAATTTCACAAATCTTTCAACAGCTATTTAATTCTAGGTTCCCCAGAGTAGTCCTTCAGTTTAAATGCCTATAGTGCCTCCTAATGGGCTAAAACTTTTAAAAAGGAACACTTCTTATTCAGCATGGATGGATACTTAGCCCAGCTGTCGTTTTCTAGGGCTTTTCCTCTGGATCGAATTGATGTCACAGAGGTGTCCATCAGGATAGGTGTTTTGTTGTTAGGTGCCATGGAGTCAGTTCCAACTCATAGCAACACTATACATAATAGAACAAAACACTGCTAGGCCCTGTGCCATCCTCACAATTGTTATGTTTGAGCCCATTGCTGCTGCCACTGTGTCAATCCATCTCATTGGGAGTCTTCCTCTTTTCTGGTGATCCACCACTTTACCAAGCATGATGTCGTCCTATAAGGTTCCTCCTGGTCACATGTCCAAAGCATGAGAGATGAAGTCTCACCATACTGACTTCTAAGGAGCATTCTAGCTGTACTTCCTCCAACACAACTTGATTGTTCTTTTGTCAGTCCATGGCACTTTCAATCTTCTTCTCCAACACCATAACTCAAATGCATCAATTCTTCTGCTGTCTTTTTTATTAATTGTCCAACTTACACATGCATATGAGGCTATTGAAAATAGCATGGCGTGGGTTAGGCACATCAGTCCTCAAACTTACATCTTTGCTCTTGAACACTTTAAAGAGATCTTGTACAGTATATTTGCCTAATGCAATATGTTGTTTGATCTCTTGACTGCTGCTTCAATGAGTGTTGATTATGGATCCAAAAAAAAATGAACTTTTTGACAATTTCAATCTGTTCTCTATTTATCATGATGCTATTTATGGGTTCAGTGGTGAGTTTTTTGTTCTTTACATTGAGGTGCAATGCATACTTAAAACTGTAGTCTTTGATCTTCATGTATAAGTATTTTAAATCCTCTTAGCAAGCAAGTACATATCATCTGTATATCGTAAGTTGTTAATGAGTCTTCCTACAATATTGATGCCACGTTTTTCTTCATATAATCCAGCTTCTTGTATTATTTGCTCAGCCTACAGATTGAATACACATGGTGAAAGGACACAACCCTGGTGCACACCTTTCCTGACTTTAAACCGTTCAGTATCCACTTGTTCTATCGAACAACAGCTTCTTGG